AGTCCATCATGGTGGTCTTGCATGTGGCTGAACGAGGGTATTGCTACGTTGTTCGGCGTGTATACAATCAATCAGGTATTTTTTCACGTGTGTGATAATACTTTCAAAGAAAACTGAATATAAGTTTTATTTGAAAACACACGAGAAGAGAAAGAATATTCTTCCAATATTTTCAATGATATTTAAGTTGAACGTAAAGAATTTTGTCGCATTCATGTGAAATCGTTTAAAAAATTTGTATTAATTTAATTATATTGTAAATGATTATTATTATTAGACTAATGATTATTAGACTAATGGTGATAAATTAATAATTAAATTATTATTTATTTTGTGACTATACTTGTAATGTCTAGATTATGCCTGAGAGTCGAATGTTGGATTTATTCGTAGTCCAGAATCAACAAGAATCTCTTCGTCTAAATAATTCACAAGTTATGAATCCTCTTGATTCAGAAATTGACAGTATGTCTGAAATTAATTCTCTCTTCTCTTTCACCTATTACATAAAAGGTATAGAGTACTGAATAAATAAAGTTGAAACAATTAAAACATGTAAAATTATTTAAAAACTATAACAAAAATAAATTTTTACTTTACATATTTTAATTTACATGTTTTTTTATTCACTGAAATAAGTAATGACATATTCTAAAACAAATATATTCTGGCAACATCAAAATTTTTAATTAATTGTAGTCTTATCAATGTCTTTAAGAATTTCGATAAATTTATTGTACGTATAATTTCTTGCATGTTTCTTGCATGATCTTATAACGCTCATCTGTTGTAGCACCTTCTATATTGCGTATGCTACACCATACAGTGGGTGATGAAATTTTTCAGAAAGGGATTAATATGTATATGAAAAGAATGTAAGTATTTTCATGTCTTGTATTTTTTCTCTCTTTTTCTTTATGTCAAATAAGTAATTTTTCATTTTTATTTCTTTGTTACATGATGTAAGTTTATATGTAAATAATAATTTATTATATTCTTTACTATATTCTTTGCTATTTTTGTGCCGTATACTGTTACTACATATAAAATAATTTTCTCAAATACTGTCTTACTTCTCGAAATAGAAAGAAAAAATTTAAATAACATGTGTTAAAATAAAAAGAAAGTTTTGTATTCAAAAATTTGCTGTATCCTAAATTTACTATTTGGAATCGATGGCTAATCAGCATTAAAATTGAATTATGTTTTAAATAAATCTTTATATATATTTTCATTTTAGATGTTACTGATAAAAATTGAAAACGTTTTTATTATAAACTATCTGTTATTCAATGATCTCTTGAATTAAAATTTAATCTGTGCAGTCGGTGTTGAGACTTCATAACTTATATCGCAATTTTGCGCAAATAAAATCACGGGCATCTGTCCCACAAGAATTAAACTGAGCGAGTGATGCGGATTATGCGTGTTTTTCAACAATTAAAAATTGTGTAAATTTGTGTTTATGCTATATATCGAGAAAATTTATCTTTATCATAGAATATACATCGTGAATAGAACTAATTTTTATACATTTTTGTAAGAACGGGAAATCTGGACGATTTTTGGGCTTTAATGCAATCTGTGTATGATTCACAAACTATGGATTTGGAGAAAATTAATGTGAAAGACCTGATGAATCCTTGAATACAAGAAAAGCAATATCCTATTCTTAATGTAACGGAAATGTTTGGTCCCGATTGGACGAAAATTGTTCTAGAAACTGCTTCCGAAAACTGGACAGTACCGTTAATGTATCAAGCGTATATAAATTTAAATCGATTTTTACCC